ACTCATTGGAATATCTTTTTCTTTGGGATGTAGGACACGAACCGGTGATCGGGGCAGTTTCAAAGTTAGACGGTTAAATCAGCCGTATCTTTGAATGTACATATACCAAATTAGATGAGGATTGATTCAGAATTGAGAATTCGTATTAGGTATATACACAAATATATAGATATAAACATTCTACTTTGCTTATATGGATGTTAGTTTTATCATGAACGATAACACTATGGCTTCTATTAACATATTTTAAATGGATTACGTTTTACAAAAATATTGCCATGATTTTGTCAACCGTTCTTTTGGCACCTCCAAAACTTTATTTTCCAAATTATTTTCTTCATCAGTTAAAACAAGTTAAAAAAATTTGGTTATGTACCGAATGGTAAATAATAAAAAAATAAGAAAACCGGTACCGAGCTTAAAGCTAATTCCACAATTTTGCAATGCAAAATTTAAGTCTACATTGATGCAAAAGGTTTAATAGTAATAAAATGCAATTATCGTTGTTATTATTCTTTTGACTAATACAAAAGTGTTTTTAATGAATACGTCAGTAGGGAATAGTTTAAATGTTACGGGCTCATCGATTCTTCGATATGGCTCTGTCAACATCTCTTTGAATAATTCAGTTCAACAACAACAAAGTTATCAGGCTGCTTTGATGTTTGAAAGTGCATTATTGAAGTTAGTGTTCAAATTTATATATTCATTATTCTTTTGTTGTCAAAGATACTTACCTTTCTTTAATCTCAATTACCCTATCTTTCGTAAAATTAAATCGATTTTTAAGGAGTATTTAAAGCTATGCTTGACATTATTTTAATTTATATGTCTGTTTTCCAGCTTTTTTTCCCGAATTTGTTGCAAAGATATTAACTGTGAACAAATAGTGATTGCCATAAATAATAAATAGTAATAGCCATAATTGTTGTTAAAAACAGTTATGGCTGTCACTATTTTAACATAAAGGTCAAAAATAGAAAATTTTGCTACTGGCTTGTGACCAGCTACAGACTTCTTAGTGGTGATTACTTTTTCAAAAATTTAAGCGATTTTAAAAATATTGATTTTAATTAAATATGGTATTCCTCTTAAAGCATATCTCAAAATAAGGTAAACTTTATAAGTTTCATTTGTAAAATGAATACAATTTAAAAAAAGACAACCACAAAAAAAAAATAATTTTCAGAATATTATAAAACAATCATAATAATGCTTATTCATTAAAAAATAATGATTAAAGTCACATTTTAGACAAAAAAAAGTAGTAATAGGGTGATGACTGACAAACAATTTTTTTACTCGCAATTTTTTATATTTAATAGTCTTCTTGTGGCTGGTGGTTACCGTTAATTTTGTCCCATAGTTTAACTGGTTTTATATTTTAAATTTAAAAAATAAAATGTTGAGCACCATGAGAAGGAGCAAAGTGTTTAGTGGTATAGTCCACATTTTTTTTCAAGTTCTTAATAAAGTACCCAATTTTGCTGTACTTTAATAAATTCAGTGATTACAATAAACAGCTTACGGGCCTTTAAATTTTTTTTTCATTAATTGTCGTTGAACAACCGATCAAATCTTTTGGGTTCACGACTACTAACGTTAAACTCCGAGGCTTTGTAATTTTGAACCCAATCCTAGAAGACAAGGGGACTCCTGGATCAAGAAATGGAAGAAATTTTGCCTTCGTGGAGGACTTTTGGAGGAAACTAACCCGCATTTGCGTTACATGGAGAGGAAAACCGCGAAAACCTCCCACGGTCAGCCTGACGGCAAGGGGACTCTAACCCATTATCCGTCTAAGACTGAGGATATTTTACGTCAGCACTGTGGTTGAGGCAAGCCGGATGCGGAATTCGTATCAACCAGTCATCACTGGGATTCGAACTCGGTTCACCTGGCAAACGTTCTATCCGCAGATCATCACGGCTCTTATCTTGAAAAATTGACTTATACACTATAATTTTAGCTATAATGTTTGAAGTTTTGAGCTGCTATAAGGCTAATCTTTTTTTTTAACTTAAAGGTATACGCACGCAACATTTTCCTTTAGCTTCACATCCTTTAAGTTTCGAAAGTTAGGAGCTATTTTTAAGTTGTGTAGATTACTTAATGGCTTAAGATTATGGTAGTGCGTTAATTTAACAAATTAAAGTAAACTGTCACAGTGAAGGAAAATATAGAGATTTTGTTAAACAAAATGATGATATGCTTTATTTTAAAATTATTTTTATTTTTGTTACTATTATTAATGTTAGTATTTTGGTCTGAGAAGGATATTTTTTGTGTCATTTGCAACTGACCTAGAAGCATTGTTGTGTGGGTAATAACTTGTTTACTTGTATTTTTTGTGAACACTCATTGAAAAAACATCATTGAGTTGTGTGGCATGAGCAAAAAGCAAATACTAACCCAAGATAACTAATCTTGAATCAGTGCTAACTACTAATCATCCAACTAAGAGACTACGATATAAAAACAAGTATAGTTTCAAACTTTTTTTTTTGATGAACCTTTCTTTTTTAAAAGTTTTAGAGTGCGCAAATTAAAAAATAGAACAATCTGAATGAGCCGGGATAGCCTGGTCGTTAGGGCGCTTGCCCCATGTCCGAGTGTTCGTGGGTCCGAATACTCTCCGTGTAGTAAATGGTGACTGATGCACGTTAAATCTGTCGAGTCGCAAAGTCCTCCATGTTCCCATAAAAAATCAATGCCTCTGGGAGTGCTGAATTGAAGATTGATCGTTCTCTGATTCAGGCCAAAATTACGATTGGTGGATGAATGAATGAATGAATGAATGAATGAATGGGTTACGTACCTAACGTTTCCTTGTTATTAACTGTTCGTGAAGCGTAAAAAGTAGCATCCTTAATAAATTGATTTCTCAGGCTTAATTTAGATTATTCAACCAATTTGTTCAAATTTCATATTTTGCACATAAAATTGCATCGTTTAAAATGCTGTGAAAATTTGTATACATTTCAGTTCAGAATAGTTCCGTCTGTTTCTAATTAAATAATTATTCAAAATTAATTTTTGCATGGAATTATCTTTCAATAAACAAATTAAATAATGCATGCAAAAAATTTTCAAATTACTTAAAAAATTCCAGAAATGTGGCGATTTTTGCGAAAAATACTATTAAATAAATACACTAATAACATTACTGCTCTCCTGACCAAACTATTCCGACATTGCAACTACCCTCCATACTTTGAGTATTAAGAATCTAAGCCCATCACAAAAAAGGTACGTTTATTTAGAGTAAGTACGTTTGCGCCTGATTTCGTAACCCTGAAATGTCGTCTGCACTAATTAATTAGCACAGGGATGGGCAAACTACGGCCCGCGGGCCAACTGTGGCCCGCCGGAAGGTTTTATCCGGCCCGCGGATGGAATTTTAATTCGCCGATCAGTGGCAAATATAAACAATATACATCCATTTTCTTGTCAACTATTTACAATTATTTCTGTTTTTCCCTTTTTAACAAAGTACTGATAACCTTTCTTTCTCTATTTTTGTTCTACAAAACATAAATTGATGGAAATAGTTAGCGCACACAGCTTCAATTGGTATAATGTTGAAAGCAGAAGTTCTTTATAGAATAGCCTTAGATTGGCTCTAACTAGCGTTTGTCTTTCGCGAGGAATCTAATATAGGTAAATTATACTTCACATTTGGCAGACTGCGCATTTTAAGATCCAACGAACGGACCATCTAACAATCATCTGAAGCAGTTGTTTCTAAATATGCCAAAGTTTTACAAATCATTAACAAAAGCTAGTTTCCAAAATTTATTATTTCATGCCCAGAAAATCAGCGCTATGTTTGCTTAATCTTATATATGTGAACAAGAGTTTTCAACTATGAACCTTTGAAAAAAATCATTTCAGAAGTAGACTAACAGAAAAACATTTAGCTTTGTTCCTTAAAATAAGAACATATCACTTCGAACCTTAATATAAGGTACTTTTAAAAATGAAATCGCAATTTCATTCATCTCACTAAATATTTAAATTAAAACTTGTATATCGCTTTTTTTTTTAAATTTTGAAAGTTTTACTTGGCCCACCAAACATTTTTTTTTCTCGATTTTTGGCCCTCGACCGAAAAAGTTTGCCCATCCCTGAATTAGCATATTTGAGATCACTGCTTCTAACCATTGAGTCCTAGCACGTTGAAATCCGACCATTAGATCATAAGTAATTCAGGTTGTTCCATTTTTTTAAAAAATTCTTTTTTTATCTTCATTTTAATTTTTTAAAATTAAATTAATTTTACTTTAGTTTATTTTATGTGTGCTTATTAATTATATATTGAATAATATAACTTTTCAAATTAATTTTTTTCGTTAAACTTTAAGAACTTGGAAATGGATAATTTAATAAAATGGATAATTTAAATTATAACTTAATAAGATAATTCCGTTAAAGACATTAAAGTTACGGAAAGCCCAACGGATGACTTATTGATTTCAAAATTAAAAATCTGAGAAAAAAAGGGCGATAGAAAAATGAAACAAATGGCAGAATTGTAATACAAATGGTATAAACAAATGGTGCATGTGAAAGCTGTAAAAAGTTTCTTTTTAAAATTTTTTAATTTAGTTACAAAGATTACTAATAGATGGCGTGGTACTATTTATAAAGTTTTCCAAAAGAATGCAAATACTGTAGGATTATAATTTAACCTGAGATATCCCGATCACAGAAACATGAAATTTTTTTACTGAATGCCTGGTTTAAACTTAGTAATCTAGTATGACGTTTAAACGCTAGAACTAATCGCTCAATTTATTAATGTAGCGCCATTCATTAGCAAATTTTGAAACTAAATTCCGAAGTATCAGTATAAACCTTTTACTTACAGTTTTCACGATAAACTTGATTCATTTCTTTTCAAAGTTTTTATTTTTGAAAACAGTAAGTCTTCCTTTAATTGTCCTGTAAGAAGGCTTCACTGAAGCTATTGAAAAATGAAACTGAGTGAGTGAAACATCATGTTTTGCAGTTTCAGTTCAGAAACTGAAAATTTATCTACAACGACCACAGCATCAATGACTGCAACTTCGGCTACAGAATGCTCAAAAATTTCTGAGTTACCAGAAAGTGGCAATAAAGAAGAAGTACACAACAGTATTAACATCTTACTCATGCTTTTTGTGATTGGTATGTTTAAAATGGTCATAATTTTTTTTTTAAAGGAATTTGAAATATAAACTGCTGTTTGTAGAAAATGCAACACCATGAAAGAATCATCAGAATCAAATGAAATTTAATGCAGAAACGACTTGTACTGATACAAATAAATGATGAAATTTTCAAAACAAAAGAAACAAATTAAGCGTCCGAAATCAGTATTTGGTGCAGCCACCACGCGCTGCAATAAGTGCTGCTATACGACGTGGCATGGAGTCAAACAGATGTTGAATATCTGCTTGAGGAAGAGAATTCCATATCGCTTGTATGCGCAACCAAAGTTCGTCTTTGGAAACTGCAGGACGCGGATCACGAGTGAGACGCCGACCAACCATATCCCACACGTGCTCAATAGGCGACATATCCGGCGAATAAGCAGGCCAAGGAAGAAGTTGCATGCGTTGTGCTGAACAGAAGTCTCTAACAGTCCGCGCAACATGTGGGCG